AATAAATCACATAAAATTTTTTTAATATCTATTACAATATTTATTAAATTTAAATTTAAGATTTATGACATTATTTAAATAATACTTTTATCTAAAAATATATGACTTTATTTTATTTAGACTTTATTCGAGTAAAAAAAAATTAAATGATCAAATAATTGAAAAATCCCGCTCAAATGTCAAATCCCTTGTCATTTAAGCATGACATGGCAATATTTTGCCATCCAAGCAGCCAAGCGGGTGTGTCCCAAATGGCAGTTAAGCCAGGCGACGGAGTCCCAAATGGCAGTTAAGCCAGGCGACGGAGTCCCAAAGGACAGTTAAGTTGGCGTAAGAAGAAGGGCTTAATTGCTTTGATCCCAGAGTTTAAGGGCTTATATGCATCAATTAAAGTTTAGGGGCTTAGTAGCTATTCTAGGGTTAGTTTAGGGGCTTAACTTATGGTTTTGCCAAAATGAAAAGCATAGGGACAATATAATGGTTGTGTCGGCCACTGATTACGTAGACCCTTACCTCACGCTTCGGAATTCATGTTGTCCAGCTAGAGGCTGTTAAAAAACAATTTTCTTCTTTAAATATTTTTAAACTTTTTCTTTATAAAATTATTTAATATATTTTTTTATATTAATATTATAATAGAAACAAAGTAAAAATAATATTTTTTATTTTTATCTTTTCTGATATATTTTTCAATTTATAAACTTTTTTTCACATTTTTTGAAAGAAAATAAATTTTACTTAATTCTTTTTTATATAAGATTCAATTATGATTTTTCTATCAATTTTTTTTATACTAATTAACCCTAAAATTTTAAATTTTAAATTGAGTTTTAATTACATAAAATAAAGTATTTATTTTAAATTTTAAATTTTAATTTATTTTAAAAATTAAAACTTATATGTATTTTTTTATTATATTTATTTAATATCATATATTATATAATTATAAATTTATCATTTTAGGTGATACTAATTTTTATATTAAACTTTTAAAATTTAAAAGTTATATTAATATCAACTAATTTAAAATTAAATCACAATAAATCACATAAAAGTTTTTTAATATCTATTACAATATTTATCAAATTTAAATTTAAGATTTATGACATTATTTAAATAATACTTTTACCTAAAAATATATGACCTTATTTTATTTAAACTTTATTTAAGCCAAAAAAATTAAATGATCAAAAAACTCAAAAATCTCGCTCAAATGTCAAATTCCTTGTCATTTAAGCAGGACATGGCAATATTTTGCCATCCAAGCAGCCAAGCGGGTGTGTCCCAAACAGCAGTTAAGCCAGGCTACGGAGTCCCAACGGACAGTTAAGTTGGCATAAGAAGAAGGGCTTAATTGCTTTCATCCCAGAGTTAAAGAATTTATATGCATCAATTAAAGTCTAGACGCTTAGTAGTGATTCTGGGGTTAGTTTAGGGGATTAACTTGTGGTTTTGCCAAAATGAAAAGCATAGGGAGCAATATAATGGTTGTGTCGGCCACTGATTACGTAGACTCTTACCTCACGCTTCGGAATTCATGCTGTCCAGCTAGGGGCTGTTTGGTTAACAAACAGTTTTCTTCTGCAAGTATTTTTAAATTTTTTCTTTATAAAATTATTTAATATATTTTTTTATATTAATATTATAATAAAAATAAAGTAAAAATAATATTTTTTATTTTTTATTTTTTTGATATATTTTTTAATTTATAAACTTTTTTTAACACTTTTTGAAAGAAAAAAATTTTTACTTAATTCTTTTTTATATAAAATTCAGTTGTGATTTTTCTATCAATTTTTTTTATACTAATTTTTTGTCAAATATATAAAAATTAATGATTAAATAAAATTTTAATAAAATTTACTTACAAAATTTATTAATTTTTTATATAATATTTATTAACTTTTTATATAATATTTTGTTATTATTTTTTAATAAAGACATTTTTAATAAAATTAATTTTCTACCCAAACAGACCCTTAATGTTTTTGCCTCGTTGACGCGTTTACCAAACACAAAACCCAGCATTCCGTAGAAACCTAGGATGCATTTGATATTAACGTAAGGTGCTATGCTTGTAAATATAGTTATGAATGTGTTAAATTGTATTATATTATAGTTATTTTTAAAAGTTATTTTGATATTTAATTATTTATTTTTAAAAAATATTATAAATGAAATATGATGGATTTTATTAATTAAAATTTTAAAAATATCATAAAATATATAATTATTAAAATATATAATATTTATTATATTTTAATAATTTAAGTTTTTTAAAATTTTTTATTATTAAAATATTAAATTATGATGTAATTAACTTATATGAACTTGAATTTTAATGAATAATTTTATAATTATATTAAATATTATGTGTTTTTTATATACGTCATATGTAGAAAACTTTAAAATGAAACTTATAACTTTATATATAAAATAACTATAAATCTATCATGATTTTTTGTATTTTTTAGAAAAAATAATTTTAAAAAAATTTATCAAATACATATATATATATATATAAATATTGTACGATTACACGAAAAAACTTTCAATTATAATTCTAAACACAACCTTAGTATATTAGATCATTCACTCCTTTTTGCCTTCCGAGAATTTATTTTTTAATTATTAATTAGTATGTGAAATATATTAACATATATTCTTTTTGTTTTAGGGTCCGTTTG